TGCTGTTTTACGTAAAAATTGTAGATTATCCTGGACAGGTAGATTAGATAAGGGTTGGCCCTCGACTTGAAGTGGTTAAGATTGTACTGGTTGAGGTATCATCCTCTCCGGAGTGTATTCCACGAAGCATTGGCTCTTAGGAAGAAACTGTCCGCTTGGAACTTTCTTCTTACCAATGGAATACGAGTGATTCACTCCTGTGCACGTGGCATCGCGGGTTTTAGCTTGAAAAATCTGAATTGTTTAAACCAGGGAATATAGCTCGTCAGAGCATTTACTAAGTAGCAATAGATTACGAAGTTGCTTCTTTGAAAAGGGGTTATAGAATGGAAAATAATTCATTACCTACAAGGCCGTGTAAGAGGATGGGGCAGCTTCAGCCCAAATATGGCAGCAGGATTTTATTTTTGGTTTGATTTGACTATTGTAAAGATAGAACATGCTAACATTGATTGATTTGTTTTTTACAGCTTATCAACCCTTTCTGGGGTACTTAAAGCTGAGACATATTTTAGATTGTGAGAATTATTTTTGCAAGTGAATATAGCATTAGTAATTGTTTTGAATATATTATAGTAACCCGATATAAGAGAGTCGTTGGGACCGGAGAAATATCCGGGTTTCTCTTATCCGGGTTTGTAACCCGGATATAAGAGAGTCTTGGGACCAGAGAACCGGAGAAGTCTCTTATATCCGGGTTTCTTTATATCCGGGTTTCTCTTATATCCGGGATTTCTCTTATATCCGGGTTGAGCGCCTGATTGACGGGTTATCAACCTTTTCTTATATCAATATTTATCGGAAATCGGCCATTTTGAGCCGTTATCCATTCCGACTTCTCAACAAATAATCACCGCCTATTTTAATGGCAGTGTTCCACTTACGAAAGAGAGCATATAGCCCAGCTTCACGAAACTCAACTGTCTGTCAATATAGCCAATTATTTCCATTTCTTCTCTATCACCGGACTACGTGTTTTTAAGCGTGCTACTAGATTGGCATTTAGGTCCCACCCTTTTACTGTTGAATTACATAAATATAACCGCCACTTCACAATACCGTTATTAGCTAAAAAAAAAATCTTCCAATAGTTTTTCAATAAACTCGCACTTCTAGAACTCAATATTTTGAAAGCCGTTATCCATTCCGTTTCCAAATAATTGTATTTAATGGCAGTGTTAACTACAATCTTCGAAAAATTTAAATGCTGCGTCAATTGCCATCTACTATCATTTTCTTTTGAATCATAAATATAACCGTTCAGCAATAGTTTTTTTATCCTTTCCTCGGTCCCCGCCCCCATACTCGGTCTTTTTCCTTTACCTTCACTCACTGTAACCCCCAGCGTGCTAGTGACATTTCTGCCTTACTTGGGGGGAAATGATTCGAGAAAATAACGTTTGATCCTTAGAGCCTTTTTTATTGGACCAAAGTGACGGAAGTCTGCTGCGGATATTTCTAGGAGTTTCTCAATCGGCAACAAAGAAAACGATTATTGCTCTTCGCTCCTGACGAATTTAAGGCGGGTTAGCCATTTTCATGTCATCTGATTTATTTATATATTTGAACACCCCCCACAAAAAAAAACAAAACAAAAAACAAAACAAAAGCAAAAGTAGATAATTAAAGATCAAGGGTGTATGTGCTTTTGTATTTGCACCAAATTTCAAATAATTCTTTTTAACCATTTCACCACCAAGAAAAGCAGTAATGCCACTAAGACACAGGGTGTGGGTTAGGGTGGGGGTTGGTGGTGTGTGGGTTGGGGGGAAATTGAGGTTAAAGAGAAAAGGGTAATAAAGAATTCAGAATCAGCAGAACAGAAGACTGAAATTGCATTTAATGTTTTTGAAGTTTGTAGGTGACAGGTGTTATGGGATCTTACCCATAATAATAATAATAATGGACTATCCATACTTAATAAATAGTGCGCCTCAGGAGGCAGTAGTTCGAGTCGAGTCAAGAGTCGAGTCAGAGGCAGTCCGAAACAGAGTCGCGTTCAGACAATTACTGCAAGACATTGGAATAGTGATACTGGTCGAGACTACATTATTTTCTCTACTAAACCTGATTGTTCATACTAACACTTCTACTTCTCTGTATATATTCCTGTTTGTAATATATCTGTGTTATTCCATATCCGTGTTCGAGTTCTTCTTTATTGGTTCTACCTTGGACTATCACCGTGGTACAAGGAACCGGATCATAACAACAGGGAAACAAGAAAACATTCCACAGGCGAGAAGTGCGAGAAAAGAAAAGAAACTATTAATATACGATTGCATCTAGGTAGTTCAACAGTAAAACGGTGAGACATAGTTGCCAATCTAGTTGCCCGTCCAGGCTCACCAGAACTGTTGTCATGAAAATATTTGTAGAAAAGACAGAGGGAACCCCATGTTACGTCGGTGTGAAAGTGACTGAAGTTGAGATGCCAGGCAAGGATCGATTACGTTGCAGACCCTTCTTTGAATTTTGTCAGGAATCTCGTGATATATAGTAGGAGCATCTGCCCATATAAGACAGCAGTATTCAATGATGGCAGGCAGAAAAGATTATCTCTGGTGATGAAATGTTTGTGAGATGCTTTAAAATTTACTGGACATTTCTTGTCCCAGTTAACCACTGATTTGCGTGAGCATTTGATAGATTTTTTTGTTGGATCTGTCGAACTTGCTACTAATATAGGTATAAATATGTATCATCTGCATAAATACCTAGTTGGAAACTGATGACATCGGGAAGGTCGCTGATGAATCCAATGATAGATTTCTGGGGTGCATGCCAGTTTAGTCGACCTCCATTAGAATATTTGTTAAAAAACGACTGGATTGAACCAAATATTCTCCAGATATACTGTATCTCTTGAACTTGTGGAGAGGGTCAATATACTAAACTCTATCAAACGTCTTTGAGATATCTAGTGGCATCAACAGGACCATTGGAATTCTTATCTGAAGCTTGTTAAACAAATTCAGTGATGACCGTCAACGCATCTGCAATAAAACTGGCGAAATGGAAGCCATATTGTTTATCTGAAAGGAGGCTGTGTGTAGATGCTTAACTAATCCGGCATTCATTAGAGATTTGAGTAATTTGCTAAAAAAATGTAGGAGACTAAAAGGGAGATAATTTGTTTTGTAATTTGTAATAATTCAGAGCCGTTATCCATTATATCACCGACACACCAAAGCTTACAGCAACTACTATTCCTAAGCGGTCGCTCATCTCGGTACCGACCAAGCTTGACACTGCTTAACTTCGGTGATTGTACGGGGCAAATACCCTTGGGAAAATTATAAATCCACCTCTTCCATAGATAGATAGATAGATAGATAGATAGATAATAAAAGACCGGGATAGATAGATAGATAGATAGATAGATAGATGCAAAGAGATTGAAATAGATAGATAGATAGATAAATTCAAAGAGATAGATAGATGCAAAGAGATAGATAGATAAATGCAAAGAGATAGATAGATAGATATACAACAAGCTGGAAATCAAGAATCAGTGAGGCGTTTACAGTGAAGTTAAGGAGCCAATTCAAGAGCACATTTCTTTTGGACGACAGGGAGATTCCGTCAAATCGGCAAAGCCTTGTGGGGAGGGGATTTAGTTTAGATATGATAGCTTAGGTCATGGACGGCGTTATATACATACTACTCTGCAGAGATTCTGTTCTAGGTGGAAAATCAGGCAGTGATACTACAGGTGAATTGAGAGTGGAGTTGGAAGAAAATTTGCGAGTAAAGACACTCTGTTTAATATACAATAAATGTCAACAATTTTAAATTGATTATCGGCGACCAGTCTACGGCAGAAAGAAACGACAAACTACTGCGGGAAAATCTTCTGACTTGAAAGTCATGAAGACATGATTGCTCAAGCATGTATCACGTATGGCACTTGACTTTATTTATACCTTCCCCCTCCAGCTATGGGTTGAATAGAAGGACTGATTAGGCCCTATGGTTGGCGAGCAGTCTTCCACAGAAAGAAAAAGTAAGTGGCTGTAGGGAAAATCTTCTGCCTAGTCAGTATTGAATTGAAAGAGATATGGTCGCCCAAACGTGTAAACGGATTGCTTCTGACTCTTTATAACTCTTCCCCTCCAGCTATGGGTTAAATAGCAGGTCAGACTGGGTGCGATAGCCTTGATCAGCAACTAGTCTACCGCAGAAAGAAAGGGTAACCTATTGTGGTAAGGAAAATGTTCTGCCCAGTCACTGATGAATAGAAAGAGAACTGATCGTCCTAGTGGGCATTACGTATGGCACTTGGCCGTCTATGTCTCTTCTCCCTCCATCTATGGGTTGAATAGCAGATTGGTAAGCAGTCTACCGCAGAAAGAAACGAAAATTTTCTGCCTCCTTAGTCATGAAACGAAAAAGACATGGTCGTCGAAATGTACATCACCTATGGTACTTAACTAACTGATTAGTAGTACATTGTAGAAAAGAAACCGCTACGTTGGTTTTATTTTTCAGTAAAGGTATTGCCTCAGTACAGACTTAATGCGTATTAATAACTAAAAGATAAAAAGCAATTAATTATTTATCATCCATCTCAGTCAAGGCTCGAAAAAGAGGATTGACCAACTCTAGCTCAGATATGGCGGTAATATTCCATTTTTAGTCAGATCTGATTGGGAATCAGGTCATTGAAAATCGGTTCTGCACTCTTCACAATATTCTCGTCTATATCAACGCCGCTGTTATAACAGAGACAATCATGGTTGGCATGTTCTTTTGTCTCATCTTCCAAAGCATTTTTCTTTACTCTTGATATTTCTTTCTTTTTTTTGTTTTTTGTTTTTGTTCACATTCATTTAGTATCAAGCTGTGTTCGACTAAAACAGTCACAGGCGAATGCGGTAATTAAGTTATAAAAAGACAGAATGTAAATGACGATCCTATAGTTATAGTCTTACGGCAAGTGGAAATTTTATTTTTAATGGATCTTGTCATTAGAGAAGAAAACATTTAATTAGACGCGGCTAGAATTGGAGGCGGGCGAAAGCTATTGAAAGGGAAAGTGTAAGAAAAGGTGGAATTGAATTAAAAAAGGAAGGTCCCAAAAAGTAGTAAAATGAAAGCTGATAATAAAGAAAAGTAAGGGAGAGAAAGGGTGAGGAAAAAAGAGGGCGTGGGAGGAAGGAAGGAAGGAAGTAAGGAGGGAGGAAGGAAGGAAGGAAGAGGAATATAGAGCGGAGAGAGAAAGAGAAGAAAGAGTAGGAGGGAGGAAAAGCGACCCAAAGATAGATAGATAGATAGATATGAAAAGACCGGGATAGATAGCTAGATAGATAGATAGATAGATATGAAATGATTGTGATAGATAGATAGATAGAAAAACTGAAATAGATTGATTGATTAGATAGATAGATAGATAGATATGAAAAGACCGGGATAGATAGATAGATAGATAGATAGATAGATAGATAGATAGATAGATAGATATGAAAATACTGAAATAGATAGATAGATATGAAAAACTGAAATAGATAGATAGATAGATAGATATGAAAAGACCGGGATAGATAGATAGATAGATAGATAGATAGATAGATAGATAGATATGAAATGACTGTGATAGACAGATAGATAGATAGATAGAAAGGAAAAGACTGAAATAGACAGATATATAGATCGATAGATCGATAGATAGATAGATATGAAAAGATTGGGAAATAGATATTGTAAAACGCTTCCATATAAGAAGAAATAGTGAGTGGGCGCAGAAATTGAAATCTAGCGAGCGAGCAAGAGAGAGAGAGAGAGAGAGAGAGAGAGAGAAAAAATAAATGGAATAACATAATAAGGGACGAAGAAAGAAAAAAGAAACGTGGATTTGAATAAAAAAAGGAAAAGAAAGGAAGAAGAAGAAACGATAGAGATAGAGAGAGAGAGAGAGAGAGAAGGAGAGAGATGGAGCGAGAGAGAAGGAGAGAGATGGAGCGAGAGAGAAGGAGAGAGAGAGGGTGAGAGAGAGAGAAGGAGAGAGAGAAAGGGGGGTGAGAGAGAGAGAGCGAGAGAGCGGAAGGAGAATAATAAAAAGGAATAAGACAAGAAAGGAAAGAGGATGGGAATGATAATATTGAGAAATAACTGGAAGATAATGATCCTATAGTGAAGGAAGTGGGATTTGAATGATTATTTTCATAAGAAAATAGGGCGTGAATCTATTCTATGAGAACAACATTACAAACGTTGATATTGAGAAGGACAACTGCAGTGAAGAATTATATTCAGAAAGAAAGAGGGTGTGAATAATTATACGCAGAAGAAAAAAAGGATCTTAATGATTATAATGGGAAGAAAATTTATAGATAATGATTATGTTAAGAATAAGAAAAGATGTTCTATGATATTAAAAACAAAATAGAACGTGGAGAATATATGGAGAAGCTGTGAATCAGTTTGTAATGGCTTATCAACATTTTGAAGGTTATTTCGAGATATTTTGAAGATACCGATTTAGAAAAGAAACCGCGACGTTGGTTTGTTTTTCAGTAAAGGTATTGCCTCAGTACAGATTTAATGCGTATTAATAACTAAAAGATAAAAAGCAATTAATTATTTTCCATCCATCTCTGCCAAGACTCGAAAAAGAGGATTGACCAACTCTAGCTCACATCGTACTATTTAACATATCAATTGTACACTATTTCCATTATTCGGACTATTATCCTCATCTTTGTCGCCATATTTATTACAACGTTTCGACCGTTGTACGCTCCGGCCTTCTTCAGGTGGTTGGGATGTCGAACTGAAACCTTTATTTCGCTCACTGGGGTAGACTGTTCTAGTTCCACGTGCCATGTTTAATGAATGTCAGTTGTCAGTTATCTCCTGTTAATTCCCCTCTCCAAGTTCTCCACCACCTTAACCAGATATTGAACTCACACTCTTTGGGTCCTGTCACTGGATCTAACCAAGGCCTTTATCCACTGTGTTCTTGAGCAATGTTCATTTTTATATTTACATACGCTATATCTCTGATGTTTAGCACTTTATCCAATAAATATAGCACACCTGAAAACTATATTTCTTCATATATATATATATATATATATGAAGAAATATAGTTTAGTTTATATATATATATATATATATATATATATATATATATATATATATATATATATATATATACTGGGTCTCCATAAAAGTTGGTGTGCACTTTAAAAAAAACTTATAACTTTATTTGAATTTGCGATAGAAATAATCTGTAAAAAATGTTATAAAGTTTAATGTACCTAGTTTTAAGTATAGCTAAAATAACTAATGTGATTTCAGGCATTACTGTAAATCAGTTGGCAAATGTTTTCCGTGAATTGCAAAATCGTATTACCCTTTGTATTGCTAATGATTGAGGACATGTGGAAACTTAAATGACATTTCAATAAAACCTTAAAAAATATAGATTTCTTTCTTTCTAACCCTTTTTACAAATTACTTCTATCGCAAATACAAATAAAGTTATAAATCTTTTAAAGTGCACACGAACTTTATAGACCCCCTGTATAGCCGCGGCAATATTCAATGCCGGAACGAATAGTAAATTTCTAAATTGTGCAAGATGGATTCTGGCGAGAAAATTCTCTGCCATTAAAGAATGAAACAACTTTACTAGTTGCAGACTTAACAATTAATTCAATATATATACACTCTGCTTCGTGTCAGTAGAAAAACTTGAAATCAAGAAGTCATAATGAGTTTCTCTCTTGGAGGTTAACATTAGCCATGCTGATGAAATAAAAATGGTTTTCTATGATGATTAAAAGAAGTATTTTCCCATATTACAACTATTGTCAGCCTTGACATATTACACCTCTTGACAGTGATCAGTTATTTATAGATTGAAATGGTGTTGAAAAGCTCTTGATTTGAAATTCGGGATAAGAAAATCAGAGAGCAGTGTCTGTATTCCATACGAGTCCGTTACGCGCAAATATCGTTAGAAACGCTATGAATACATCTTGTTCCCCCCGAAGCTATGGGTTAAATAGTAGAACTGGAAAAATCATTATGTTCAAAAAATTGGAAAAATGCAATATTCACTCGCAAAAAGAGAATATTTCTTGTAATCCAGAATGACTTTCGGCTTTAAATACCCAACCCCCTCAAAAAAAAAAAAAAAAAAAAAAAGAAAAGTTTGATCACCCGTAACAAATCAAATTATTCAATCAAAAATCTTGCTTTGAGTAAGATTCTCTTCACCAGCACCACCCCCAAATCTCGGTTATTTGGTCAGATTTGGCAGAAGTGCGTCGTGGAGAGTCGTTTTCAGCATCCGTTTATTTTATATTCTATTATTGTTTAGGTTTGTGATACAATGTCTTTCGAACGTTTGTATTTCGTTATGTAAGTTGCAGGATGACCATAACGGAATAAATATATTTATATACACATCATTATGCGTATTATATTATGCAATAAATAAAGTTAACCAGAGGTAAATTGATACTCCTCACAATCAATGGACACAGCTGAAGCAAGTCTCTGATTCTTCATATTGTATTGACAAGAAATTTATTCGATGTTGAAAGCTTCCAGTCATCAGCTTCTCCATATTTCCCCGGACAGCTCTTGCCACTGATTCCATTCAATCCAGCGTTATACTAATTAGCTTGATAACATCTACTCTGCTTGAATTGATACGGGAATTTTGGTCGCCCACCACTGGAAAGAGACACTTCCGGCTTTTTTTTTTAGATCACGTGAATATGTGCACAAGAAAAAAGAAGTTTGCTGAAAGGGTGGTGGCGTTGGATGACGGCCTAGTTTATTGTACAACAATTGCATTCATTGAGCTGTCGGCTCTAAATTCTAAATGATTATTGACTCTGGCTATAATTAAGCCTGCTTAATGACGATAAACTGGTCCGGTTTTTGCAATGGAAGACAGGAGAAAGCAGGAAGTGTAAAACGAACGTTATTTGTACAATTCGACGCAAAGAGATTCGGACGAGAATAGCGGATACATAGAGTCGTTACCGGTTTCGCTTCCTAATATCTCTTTCACTAACATAAAGGAAATAAATATATTCTATGTGAATACATGTAATTAATTTGTTGATACAGGCTAAACTTAACTTAGTCTGGAAAAAGGCCGTAAACGCGAATGTTTCCACTACTAATACTTACAATAAAAGTTTTCTATTGCTTAAAATAGGACATTTGATCCAAAAGTAACGGGGCTGTTGCTATGGTAACAAATTACGCCGAGTGAATGCGTTTAGCATATATTCATCTTGAACTCTGCCGCGAATACACACCAAGTTATTCCATTGTTTATACCATTGCGTGGAAGGAAGGTTTGTAGAATATGGTCGTCTCACGAAACCACACAGATTCCATCAGTAACTATAACTTGTGCAGCAGTTTTGGGCCCTGAACAACATTCCCCAGGCAGCTACCATATTCCCCAGATGTCGCTCTTTCGATTTTTTTCCTCTTCAAAAATCAAATCCCACTTGAAAGTAACAAGATTTCAAGACGTCGAGGAAATTCAAGGGAATGTGATGAAGCAGCAGCTGCCCAGGAGTTCCAGAAATGCTTCCATCAATGGAAACTACGTTGCATAAAGTGTGTGTCTTCAGAAGGGTACTACTTCGAAGGAAATTAAATGCCGAATTAATATGTGTTTTAGTTTTTGTTTTAGGGCACCACCAAATTCCTGGGTATAACAATAAACTACATCTGGCAGCAAGTCCTCCGATCGGCAGATTGGATGTCTTAAGGGACGTGGAACCATCTCTCAATTGCTGTTGTTCGCAGCTTCACCCTGGTCCGGGGTGGTAGCATTTGTTAGGATTCCAGCGATGGGCAAATATTGAACCCTCAAACAAAACACTATGGAAGTTTAGAAATACATTTTATAGTAAACATACCAGCAAAACATTTTTGTATAAAAAATGGGCAATAATACCTATTTATAATAAAATGTAATTAAAAATTAATAAGAATTTGAACGTAAAATGCTCCGCAATATTTTTTATCGGTACTTGAAGGCATACAATTGCGTTCAAAATATTAAGATTTCAGAATTAAATAACCCATAAAAGTTTGATATACCGCTAAACAAAATCAATCAACCAACAATACATATTTATAGTATATATTTTATTTGTAGTCGAAGATATATAATTGCGTTCAAAATATGTAGATTTTGGCATTAAATAACCCATAGAGTTGTTGATATGCCGCTAAACAAAATCAACCAACCAAACAAGCAACATGAAAGAACACTTTCATGGCATTAATCCATATAAAATCCTACAATTTCTTAAACAAATCAAACTGTATTCCAAATTATAACTTAAACAAAACTACAACATAAAACACATATCACTGCCTCTAGTAAGCATAACCATGCAAACATGTATATGCACAAAAGTAGAATATCATTTACCATTTTTTCAATTGTGGAAGCAGAATAAGATATATTGTTTTTTTATTACTGCAAAGGTACCAAGAAAATTAAATGTCGGCATTAACTGACCCATGAAAGATTTTATATTTCGGTAAAGAAATCAAATCAAAAGAATTTATGACGACAGTTCCGAAACTTTTTTTATCAATTTCGTATACGTCAGATACATTCAAATGTAAACCATTAACAATCTTCTGTCGCATAACATTTATTATAGCATATTGATAGAATTGTTCTATTTTATTATTAGTTATTGTTTCTAATCTCTTATTTTGATTCATAAGATCTACAGTAAGAACGAATTTTCTATTCTTCACAGTGACTTTTATTACAGTCTGTTGTTATAATTGTTCAATTTTATTATTATTTTATGTTAATTAGTTAACATCGACTGTTTTTAATCTCAATGGTTTTATTATATTTTTATGACATGCCTAATAAGATCTACGGTAAAAAAAAACTAATTTTCTAGGCATTGTAACGAATAGGTACGATGACATATTGGTAGAATTTTCTATTTTATTATCAGTAATTCTTGTTAATCTCTTTATTGTTAATAAGATCTATTGTAAAAACTAATTTTCTAGGCATTTGACGAATAGAAAATTCGTTCTTACCGTAGTTAACTTTTATGACATATTGGTAGAATTGTCCTATTTTATTATCAGTAATGTTAATCTCTTTATGCCAGCCTAATAAGATCTACGGTAAAAACTAATTTTCTAGGCATTGTGACGAATAAAATCGACGTAGTCACAATAACTTTTTATGACATATTGGTAGAATAATTTTCTATTCATCACGTCCGCTTTTTCCGGGAAAAATGGAAAAATGCCACAAACTTTAAATCAAGTTTTATCAAAAGTTATTATCAAGATATATTTTTTATTTTTGACGAAATTTTGGTTAAAATCTTCTTTTGTTTACGTCATCGCGGTGCTGTTAAAATCATTGTTTTTTTCGCGCTTTTTTTTCCGTTGAAAAACACATTGATTTGGAAATTTTTGTAAAATCGGTTTGTCCGATTTTAATGAAATTTTCAGGACTTATTCACAAATGAATGAAATTATTTTGAAATATTTTTTAGAAAAATAAAAATATTTTTTTTAAACCTTACTTATTTTCCTGAAATTTCGTTCAAAACCTTTTATTTCCTGACAATTTTTTTTGTTAAAGTTCATTAGAGATGACACTTTTTTTTTTTAAATTTGCGCTAATTAATAAAAATGTGAATTGAAAAATAATTTTATTATAAATAAGTAAATTAAGGTCATTATTGCCTGAAGAAATAAATTTTTCTGATGAATAATTAAATTTTACAAGAATTTTTTCATTGGTTTTACATTTTAATTATAATTTATAATAGTTTAAAAATCTTGCAAAAATTCTGTATTAGCCTATTTTGTGATAATTAGTAATTAAGTAGAAACAAAATTTATTAAGTTCAAAATTGCAAAGTTTAATAAACTTAGTGGTGCTAATTTTTTTCATATAATTTTTTATGTTGTATTTTTTAATTAATACGTTCCGTATTTCCATTACAGTAGACTGAAATTGCCATTATTAGAAAAAAAAAGAGTTTTGAATAAAACTGTTTACTCAGATTTCTAATAATTTTCATTTATGGTCATCCGTAGCTGTCATCTTGTTAATCAACACGTAGATCAAGTATTTATAACAGTACCAATCGTTAATAATTGGTTGTATATTATAAATATTTTTTTAAATCAGATTAATTTAACTAATTTTTTTAACGTGTCAGAAACTTTTTTAAATATTTTTAAAATAATAAATTTCTTGTTTGTTTACCGTAAAATTAAGAAAATCGGAATTACGAAAATTTGAAATTCCAAAATTAAATTTGACATTCCAATGTATATAGTTTCTATCTGAAATACACCAGAATTGTTTCTTAATGGAAATAATAAATTTAATGATTAAACTTTCAATTAAAGCAAAAATGAAAGTAGCATGTTTTTTCATTTTTAAAAATTTATTTTAAAGTTAGGTATCGGAAATTTTGCCGGAAAAAGTGGAGGTACCTAGCCTAATAAGATCTACGGTAAAAACTAATTTTCTAGGCATTGTGACGAATAGAAAATTCGTTCTTACCGTAGTCACAATGACTTTTTTATGACATATTGGTAGAATTGTCCTATTTTATTAGCAGTTATTGTTAATCTCTTATTGTGTCTCATCGGACCGTCGGCAGGCGACAATAACCCATGTGATTTAATTGCTCAGCAACACGCCCTGAATAAGTGGGTCCCCTCGACACCGAACTAATCCCCGCCCAATCCAAAGAACACATACCTGTTACCACATTTTGTGTCTTGTGCCGATGTTGTAATGACAAAAGGGTACTCCCGAAAGTCAAGAAACGGCCATTTCCGTGTACGACGAGTATGAGATATTCTGTTAAATGATTAATTCATAACCTTTTGTTACCTATATTTATGAAGAATCTGCAATGTTATTAACCCTAACCTGGTATCACGGCTTTAGTCACTTTACCAGCGTCATAACGTAGCTTGCGCGTGTCTTATATTCACAGATTTGCATGGTAATTTTTTCTGATCAACTTTCATCTTTGGTACATAGACTTTATGAATTTAAGCGCAGTACTAAATTAACGGTTAGGTCTCATCATTTTACAGTTGAAATGACTCGATGTAACCGTAAGTTCTATGCTAGCAGTTTCTTTTCTCGTCCTTCTCGTTTGTGAAACTCTCTTCCGGTTTCCTAATATCCAGTCAACTTTGAAGTTAAAAAATTTAAATGCAATGCCAATCGTTATCTTCTGTCTTATTAATTCTTTTTCTTTTATTGTTCTCTCTCCTTAATAGTGTTTTCTTATGATGCATATTCTCTCACATTCAGTACCCCACCTTTCATCTTAGTGAGTTTATTTTCTTGCTTGGGGTGAACTTATTAAAAAAATATGATCGTAGGTCATAATTTTCCATTCATTTTGTGGAATGTTAGAATACAATAAACAAATGAAATGGGGTTTTCTTTTGCTTTATTTAGAATTTGAAAAGAAATCTACAAAAGAGCTACTTGAAAACTGATATTCGCAACTGTTCTTTGCATTTTGGATCTGCCTACTTCTTGAATCATCATGTACATCTATTCGCGTTACGTTAAAACGCCTGCACCACTCAAAGACACTCGAATTCTTCATGGCCTGTTTCCCATAAACCAATTTGAGGATTAACATTTTAATAGATACACTTACTAGGCGGCTTCACACAGAGATGATGTTAATCTGCTGCGCCAGAATCCCTTAAGTAATTTTCCGACAACAGTATAACACGAACACATAAAATTGCTTCTACTGCACGGCAAAAAATGACTCAAATTGTCCGCG